CTTGCCTTAGACTTAGCCCTTGTGGGTGGAGATGCTCTAAAAATAGCTAACCCATCCCCTCCTTCCCTTCCCGACACCTCTCCCCCCCCCCCCCTCCCCCCCCCCCCCCCCCCCCCCCGCGTCGTCCTCTCTCTCCTCGGGTTCGCGACTGCTGAAACAGCCGGCCACGTTTTGGCCGGCCGCGCTCTCGTCCGGCCACCAAAGTAGACGCGGCCGACATCAAGAATCAAACACAGCTGCATCAAACCCAAACATGAAAAATCAATTAAACCCAAAAATCAATCAAACCCATCCCAGCTTCTCCATTTTTCACATATTTCGCAGGAGATGGAAGTTTTCATTAGTTCATGACTGCAACTTTGTGTGCATCTGCTCCATTTGGATTTAGTAGAAGGGCAGCAACCAGAGATTTAGTACAAGCCATAATAAATAATAGTTGAAGTTTAATGAATCAAAGGTGAATCAGATTTGGGGAAATAGAAGAAATCAAATAAATTTGGGATTTCTAAGAAGAGGGTTCTCAAGATTCAAGCATGTGAATAAGAGAAATCAGTCATGATACTATGTTAGAATTGAGCCAAACAGAAAGAAAATGAACTAGAGAGAAGGGTAGGTGAGGTATTAGGAAGAAGGGGAAGGAGTGTTGTGAAGGAGGAGCGTCAATTTTACCCCTTGCTTTTAACGTGTTAACCAACACAACCGTTTTCCCTTGTTTTAAAAACACCGCCATGTGAGTGGCTGTACCTGTACAGCTGAAGCACCACAGAAGGACTCCAAGTAATGTTGAGATTACGCATGTATATTGTCAATCTGACGCATATGCCGTATGCGACAAGCCATTTGTGACAGTTCGTAGAAGAAAAGGACGTAAATATCTTTCCAACTTTTTCAACGAGGTCCCTTCTGCTGGCAGCAGGGGCAAAGTGCTTCGATTGGTCGCAAGCTTTGAAATCAGGAGTTAGACGACAAAAAAAGCTTTGAAATCAGGAGGTCCTCTCACCGTGGAGGCCCCCTCTTTAGACTTAATAATGTCGTCTACAATTTGGACGACAGCTTTGTTTACCAATAAATAGAAGAGCTCCCTCTAAGAGCCGATACACACAACTCATCAAGATATTCAACTCATCTAGAATATTGCAGTCAGTTATCTTAGAAAAGATCTCTCTACTTCAAGGGTTCAATCAAATGGCAGAACAAGGTTAGTGTTAAAGTTTAATAGCTGATGAAGTTTACATATTTTTCCGTTACAATTACAATGTTCTAGCATTTTTTTAGCTTCATTCTATGAATGATCTCCATGGAGAGAAGCAAATATAGGAGAAGATTAATGTATTGGAGAAATTATACCGTAGTACTGGAATACCACTTGGCACTTGTCATGGATCAAGACATGTTGCACTATATCTATCAAACTGAAATCTATCGTTTTCTTCATAATAAAACATTAACTGGGTCTAATTTAGCAAAAAAATAATCTTGATTTCTAGACTAATAGTCTCAAATTTCATGCCTCGCCTTGATAGTTCTACTCGAACATTTCAGTCATTTTCCACGTATGAGTTCCCACCACAATGACCAGCTTACACGATCACTCTATTACCACAATGACCAATACACCACCACTTTTCTTCCCTCTACCTCATCTATTGAAATATGCCGTAGTCACAGAGAGATCATCGGCATTCGAGTAATCCACCACTCTCCAACAGTCCAAACCAGCGTATTATTCCTTAGGCCGTGTGGGTCCCAAGAACCCACATACACAATTTGAGTTAATTAATGGTATTGACGAACCGTCACATAGTGAGGGCAAAGAAACTCGAACACTGACAAGACAGCCAACCAATACGGTACTTGTTAAATGCATAATATAAAATTACAATCACAAAAGCTTTCATACTGCCTTACCTGTATTTCCAAGTTCTGCTAGCTGCACTATCGGAGAACAACCAAAAACATGGCTTTGGTTGGAGAGGCTTTTCTCTGTGCTTCCGTGCAGGTGCTGTGCGAGAAGATTGGTTCTCGTGAGTTCAGGGACTTGTTCCGGGGAAAGAAACTGGACGAGTCGCTTGTAAAGAAACTGAAGATAACGCTATTGAGCCTCAATGCAGTGCTTAATGACGCGGAGGAGAAGCAGTTCACGAACACTTACGTCAAAAAGTGGCTTGATGAGCTTCAAGATGCTGTCTTTGATGCGGATGACCTTCTGGATGAGATAAATGCTGAAGTTCTGCGATGCAAGGTGGAAGCTGAATATCGAACCGTCAAAACTCAGGTGTGGAACTTCCTCTCTACTTCTCTTAATCCATTTTATCAAGGCATGAATCGTAGGATTCAAGAGTTGTTTGATAGATTAGAACACCTTGCAAAACAAAAGGATGTGCTTGGCCTCAGAGAAGGTGTTGTTGGGGGGAAGATTTCTCAAAGAACTCCAACAACTTCCTTGGTGGATGAATCTTGTGTGTATGGTAGGGATGGAGATAAAGAAAAGCTGATGAACCTCTTGTTATCTGATGAAGCAAGCAACAAGGATGTATCTGTCATCACCATAGTGGGAATGGGCGGGGTTGGCAAGACAACCCTCGCTCAGCTCCTTTATAATGATGACAAAGTCAAAGAGCATTTTAATCTTAGAACTTGGGCTTATGTTTCGGAAGATTTCGATGTTACTAGGGTAACTAAAACCCTACTTGAGTCAGTCAGTTCAAAAGCTTACGATAATAAAGACCTGAGTTTTCTTCAAGTTGAGCTAGGACAACAAATAAAGGGCAAGAAATTTTTATTTGTGTTGGATGACCTTTGGAATGAGAACTATGGTGATTTGAGTGTCTTGCAACGTCCTTTTGCATCCGGGGCAAGTGGAAGTTGGGTCATTGTGACAACACGTAATGAAAGTGTGGCAGCTTGCATACGTACCATTCCGATTCACTTTTTGGAACAGCTGTCCGATGAGGATTGTTGGTTGTTACTTTCAAAACATGCCTTTGAAAATGGAAACTCGAGTGCATCTAGAGCTGGAAGAAGTTGGTAAGAAAATTGCTTCTAAGTGCAATGGTTTACCTTTAGCTGCAGAAACACTTGGAGGCCTCTTGCGTTGCAACACAAATTATGAGAAATGGAATAGCATACTAAATAGCAATATTTGGGAGCTGCCTCCTGAAAAATGTAATACAATTCCAGCTCTAAGATTGAGTTACCATTATCTCCCAACTCATTTAAAACGATGTTTTGCTTATTGCTCAATTTTTCCGAAGGGCTATGAATTCCAAAAGGAAGATATTGTTCTACTTTGGGTGGCAGAAAGTTTAATTCCACAAGCTGAGAGTGAGAAAAGAATGGAAGAGCTCACTAAGAAATATTTTGATGACTTATTGTCACGATCATTTTTTCAAAGATCAAGAAATGAGAAGTTCACAATGCATGATCTCATCAATGACTTGGCTATGTCTGTGTCAAAGGAATCCTGTTTGAGATGGGAAGGGAAAGAATCACATGAAGTTTTGAAAAGAGTTCGGCATTTGTCATATGCTGGAGGCGAATTTGATTGTGCTGCGAAATTTGAGCCATTATATGAGGTTAAGCATTTGCGAACCTTCCTACCTCTAAGAAGAGAATGGTATGAAAATTATGTAAGTAAAAGGGTTTTACATGAGTTAGTGCCATCTCTATTATGTTTACGGGTGCTAACATTGTCAAAATATTATAATATAGTTGAGTTACCCAATTCTATTGGTAACCTCATTCATTTGCGCTACTTGGATCTCTCTAATACTCAAATCAAAAGGTTGCCTTCTACAGTTTGCACTCTTTATAGTCTACAAACATTACTATTGGCAGGTTGTCGGTCTCTTTTTGAATTGCCTGCAGACATGAGAAAATTGATTAACTTGAGGCATCTTGATTGTAGTGGAACTCAAATTGAAGAGATGCCGGTGCAAATGGGTAGACTAAAAAGTTTGAGAACATTGACTACTTTTGTTGTGGGGAAATCTACTGGGTCGACTATTGGCGAATTGGGGGAGTTGTCCCATCTTGGAGGAAAGCTTTCAATTTTGAAGCTTAATAATGTGGTTGATGGTAGGGATGCCTTGCAAGCTAATTTGAAGAACAAACAAGATCTCAAGGAGTTAGAGTTGGCATGGGTCTCCGAAGATGCCGATCATTCCGTAAAGGTGAGAGATGTACTTGACAAGCTCCAACCTTGCATGAATTTGGAGAAATTGACCGTCAAACTTTATGGCGGGACCAGCTTCCCAAACTGGTTGGGAGACTCTGCCTTCAATAAAATAAAAGTTATGCGCCTTGTAGGCTGTCATTATTGCTTCGAGTTGCCACCGCTTGGACAGCTACCTGCTCTTAAGGAGCTCTTCATATGTGAGATGAAATTTCTTAGGACGTTAGGTCCTGAGTTGTATGGTCAGCCATTTCAGTCATTTCAATCACTGGAGAAGCGGGAGTTTGAGGAGATGCCAGAGTGGGAGGAATGGGTATCGAGTGTAAGTGGAGGTCCAGACTTTCCTCGTCTCCAGGAGCTGATTCTAAAAGAGTGTCCAAAGCTAAGAGGAAGCTTGCCTTGTGATCTGCCTTGCTTGAAGAAACTTTGCATGGAAGGGTGTGGAGTTTTGCATGATCAAAGGGCCACTGCTACTACTAGTACTAGTACTAGTACTAGTCTCAACTACAATTCTCTTGAAGAATTGGAAATAGAAGATGGATGCCAAACAGGTCTGTTATCATTACTAGAGACAAAGCTCCTATCCCGACTTTACATTAGACGTTTTAATGACATACAGTGCTTGCCCAACATCAATCGTCTTAAAAGTTTGAGTCTCGCGAATTGTCCAACCCTATCGTCGTTCCCTGAAGATGGCCTACCCACTTCGTTGACTTCACTTCACATATACAGGTGTAGGAGATTAGAATTCCTACCTCTTGAGATGTTGGCACAATTAACATCGCTTCTCTCTTTGTGGCTAGTGAATAGCTGTGATTCAATGAGGTCCTTCCCCTTGGGCATTTTTCCCAAATTGACGACACTTAATATTCTGAATTGTGAGAATCTGGAATCTCTTTGCTTGATTGAAGACGAAGAAGTGGTCGAGAATCTCAGTCATCTCAATAATTTGAGAATCTCAAGCTGTCCAAATCTGGAGTGTTTTCCCCAGGGAGGATTGCCCACTCCCAACCTGACTGATTTGGAATTCAGCAGATGCGAGAAGTTGAAGTCATTACCTGAACGCATTCACACCCTCACAGCCCTTGAAAGTTTGAAGATAAGCGACGTTCCAAATCTGGAGCCTCCCAACCTCCGATATTTTAGTATTGAGAATTGTGAGAGACTGAGGGCTTCATCTTCATCAGTGGGAGACTACGGTAACTGGGGTTTGCAAGCACTTGTCTCCCTTAAACAATTTAGAATTGGTGGCAGGGGAAGTGATGAAATCTTGGAGACGTTGCTCAAGCAACAGCTGCTCCCAACCACTCTTCACACTCTCAGTATCTCTTCATTATCAACTCTGAAATCTTTGGATGGAAAGGGACTTGCACACCTTACTTTTCTTCGAAGTCTATCTATTACTGCGTGTAAAAGTTTGGAATTCCTGCCAAGAGAAGCCCTTCAACACCTCACTTCTCTTCAAGAGCTATATATTTATGACTGTCCGAGTCTCCAATTCCTGCCAGAAGAGGGTCTACCGCCATCTCTTTCTTATCTGAGAATCTACAATTGTTCTGGCCTGGAGAAAAGGTATCAGAATAAGACGGGAGAAGATCATTGGGACAGCATATCTCACATTCCTTGCATCCGGATAAATGCTGAAGTCATCATATGATGATACGACCTCTCTCTCTCACATAGAGACAAATTTAAACAAACTTTGGTCAGGTATGTACTTCAAATAACCGCTTTAACTGCTTTTCTTCTAATTCAATACAAAAACTGAAATTCACTATCCAAATAAACCGAAATACACATTTTAAATCATTTGCCATCAATTTTGCATCCAATTAACCTTTGCAGTTGCATCGAATGCTTCTTCCCAGATCATGCATGCTCTATGTTGTTCAGCACATTTTTATTTATTTAATTCATATTCATTTGTTCAGCACATTCTTTTTTTTTTTGTTCTGCATTAATATTTCATCTCATTTCTAATTGCATGCATTCCCAGCTTTTTGTGAATTACATTGTCACTGCTGCTTACTGGTCTCATGGTATTTTCTGATCAGAATCATTTTCCAGAAAAACACACAAAAACTCAATCATTCATCAATTACAAAAAAATTTAAGCTTTGTTTGTCATCTCTCTCCTTTTCTCTGTTTTTAGATTTGTTCATGTTATAAATGTTGGGATGTGTAATTTCTCTCCTTTCCTCTGTTTTTAGATTCTACTGTATTTAAATTTCTTCATATATTGTTAGGATGTTTAATCTCTGTTTTGAGGTTGAGTCAAATCGAAAGTCGCAATTAGATCTTTTTGTGGAAGATCTGGAGGTGTACTTTCTAACACTTTCTAAAAAAAAATATCAGAGAATCAATTTCCGAATAGTTCATGTATTTCATTTTTATTTTTCCGACAATCGAATATTTGAAGAATATATGCATTATTTGAAGACGTGCTTTTGAAGTTTGTAAGATTGTTCTTCTATTTGTTGCACTTTCTAAATATAAAAATCAGCAGTAACAAAAACAATTTATTACCAGCGGTTATTGTATTATCTTACACACATACCAAATAGTTTTGTTCAACTGAAAAGATTGACATGGTAAATTTATACTAGTCGCATGGTTCAAAGGAGGTAACTTTCCTTTTCCCCATCTCCCTGGTCCAGCTGCTGCTTCATCACCTAGTAGCTTTATGATTGTGTAGATATGCATATAATATCTTATCTGCAAATGAAATATTTTTTCCGTCCCACAAATCATTCTTTCAGCTACAAAGTTCTATTTGATGAGACTTGAAATGTTGGATGTGTACTTGCAGACTTGAGAAACTTTCCCATGTTTGGAGGTCAAAGCAACTTGTGTAGGCAAGCATGCCCGGGGAGAGTTTTACCATTGTATATGGATTTTTGTTTTTCGACAAACAAATTGCGGCAAATAAGGGGAAGGAAATGTTCTCAAGGTGGAGCTCTAGCAAGAGACCAGCATTTGGACAATGTGGTAAACGGATCTCAATCTAACATAACAAGCATCACTGTCCATTCATGATTAGGTAATCTTTCATCATAAAATTCCTTTCTCTACGTAATAACTTGAAAACGTCATTTATGAGTTTCCTTTGAGATCGATGAAAATGTGTACATATGTATGAATAACCTGGGACAGACGACGTTGAGGAAACGTCATTTATGATTTTCCTCCGGTAGGGAATCACATAAGTGTTCCTTATGCAATGAATATTAATGCTGCACACTTCATTAATGACTTGTTTAATTAGAAGAAACATTTTTTTATTGAAAAAAGATAGTAAAATACCACAGAAGTGAACAAGTACTCGTCCTTCACAGAACAGGAACAGATCTGATCTTAAGAGAAATACAACTGTAACAGCTTTAACAAAGAAATTATCCTTGAGCTGCCTTCCATCCATGAATTCTGATTAAACCAATGCTCAAGGTGAAGATAGGAACCTCAACCTATTCGGAAGCTCTTCCATCCCCAACCCCTTATAATTGTCGAAAACCATCCTATTCCTCCCTTTCTGATGTTAGCCAACTCACTCCAGCCTTCCTGAATAATACATACCACAAATTTGAGATACTATGGGCAATAAACAAACAATTGGTCTGCACTCTCCCTGGTTTATTTTGCTTCCTCATTGTTGTAATAGATAACAATGCCTTCTCATCTGATTTACTCATTTGCCAGAGTGGGAGGAAGGAAGACCAGAAGGCCGGTGTCCAGATTTTCCTCATCTCAAGGACCTGATTGTGTCTGAAACTAAGAGGAAGCTTGCCTTCTCATCTTACTTGCTTGAAAGACTTAGCTTGTCGTCTGGGTGTGGGGTTCTACATGATGAAAGGGCCAGTACTACTCGTAACATGGAATAATGTCTTGAAGAATTAGAAATATATGATGGATGCCCAGGTCTGTTCTCAACTTCTCATTACTAGAGACAAAGTTCCTGTTCGTGCTCCTATTTGATACGATGCCATTTCCAATTCAAAAACTTTTCAGGTATGTTAAGAAAGTATTACACAACTAGATGTTTATGATTCAAATTCAAAACAAAGCACAAATTGGATTCATATAAATCTACCTAATTGCCGTGACATTGATTATAACATTTGATAATTGAATATGCATTTTTCAGTGTCTCTTTCATATCTATTTTATTGTACGTACTTGTTGGTTGGAAATTAGTTTTCAGAAGCTACACGAGTTGGGGCAAACTAATGAACCAATTCTTAATGTCTTGAACTTAGGAGTATCTTGTTGAGCTGAGAGATGCATGAAAATGGAAAGCAATCGAGTTGAAATCCTCACTGGCTTTTCAAAATCTGATGAGGAAAAGTATGAGAAAACACATGAAGGTAAAATTATGTTGGTCCTTTTCTGTGCCTTTCACATCCGAAAGGTTTGCTTGCTGCAATTATTCGAACTACAGTTCCATTTCATTAGAATTTTTTTTCTTTGTTGTATCTCTAGACTCTCTGCGTAAGATTCCCAATGGGAACTACCCTAACTTGACCCAATTTGGCATGGATTGTGTATTTTGAGATTTCAAGGTAACTGCTGCTAATGGAAGCCCTCCTTCTTTCACTTGTTGATTCTTAGGGAAAACTAAAGCGCATTGCATGCTCTTTTGTGGTAGAATGACCTTATCATCTTCCAACAAACTCAAGAAATGCATACTCTGATGTGTTGAAGTTGAAGATTTCGAGAAAGAATGAAAGCTGTAGCAGAAAACATAGGGCTGAGATCTCTCCAAGGTATTGCTCCACGCACTCACAATCTCTGTTCCTTGTATTATGAAGCTTACAGGATTACTCATTACTGACCATCATCACACGATCTTGCAGGTGATTGTGTGGAGGTTTGCCAATTGACCTTAGTGAAATCAAAAGAGAAAAGTAAGTTTACTTTTTTATATTTGAAAGTTGGCACCTTTGTTTATATTCTTTGCACTAGACCGTTGCTCGGAACCATCCATCTTAATCTTTCTGATAATTTACAAGGTCCCTTGACGGCAGTGGAAGGGGCACATGTTTTTTACTAAAGGGATACTTAACGACAGCAATAAACTTAACATCCTTATTATATGCTTTCTATTAGCTCTTTGATCAGAGCTATCTTGTCCTGCAGATAGTTCATTTGTGTTTGGAGGGGTGGCCTTCATCTGATCTGACCACATGGAAAAGCTCTCTTTGTGTTGATGAAGAATTCTTCATCTCAAACAAGATAAACTGATGTTAAACCCTTGGGGGGCACGTCTTCGTTTGGTTTTCTTGCAAGAAAACTTTATCGGATGATGATGTTGTTGAAAGTTACTTTCTATGTAATGCCATATGCAGCCAGTTTGTTGGCCGTTGTCTATGAATCCTTCAAAGACAGCCATGGATTGTGTACTTAAACCTGTTAAAGCTCGTATTGTTGAAGTTCAATTTCCTCTTGTCCCGCATTGAAAGATTATAGCTTTATCTATGAATCCTTCAAGGGTAGCCAGTTTGATACTGATTGTTGTTTCCAACAAAAGCTTTGTCTATACACATTATCGCATTTTCGTCGAATGTTACATATATTCAATGTTTCCATACATTTCAAGAATTTTGACAAGCAGACGGTCATTGAAGTTCAATATGAAATCTTCTGAGGTTGTCTAAGCTATGGGATGGGCTACTCATGTTACCATTTTTTCCATGTTCTGTTTTTATAGATTGTTATGACCCTTCTCTTCCTTGTTACCATGAAATCCTCCTTGTTATGCCTTCACTTAAGCAAATTAGAAGACACTTTGGAGTTGGGATATTAAAAGTAGGAGCTACATGCACAACTCATCATAACATCTCTTTTAAAATTTTTGAGCGTTAACAAGTAAATAAACATGCACTCACATTTTATTTGCACTTAAAAATTAAAATTGTTGTGCATGGAACTAAATTGGCACTGAAATATTTTTTACCTTCTCTTTCTTATTTCCATGAGTGAATGTATGTTTTGCTTGCTAACGCTCAACAATTTTAAGACAAATGCTATATGATTATACCTCAGTTTCAATTTGGAGAAATATCACCTAAACTTATACCTCAGTTTCAATTTGTCATCTTAAAGAAAAATTTAAGAGAAATGTCACTTTAATTTTTCAAAATCCTTGATTGGTCATCTAACTTTAACACCATTCAATTTTCCATATATTTTAAGGATATTTTAGTCTTTCTATTTTCTAGGGTATTTTAAACATGAAAAATTCATTATAACAAAAATTGTATATCTTTTAAACAATTAAAATTGAAAAAAATAAATAGACCGCCTTCCCAATCCCATGTGTCACTGGCAGCTCCAACCAACCTTGCCCACCTTGAAATCCATTCCCTTTTCCTCCTTCTCTCTACTATGGGACACCTACCTTGAAATCCATTTCTTCAATATTATGCTAGAATTTTAATTAATTAGATTATTAAACAATTAATTGAAATTCTTGCAGTGGTTGCTAGCACTACTACAAAAAGTGACAAAGACGACCAGAAAAAAACGACGGTCTAAGTGAAAACCGTCGTTGTTTTTTAAAAGACGACGGTTCTATAAAACCGCCGTGTAATAACACCTTAGACACCTAAAAAATGGAGATTCAAATGGTTGTTCATAAACAACGACGTACCTAATTAAAAAACCGACGTCTATTTGAAACAGGATTTCCGCAGTGTAAAATCAAAGCAAATAAAGAACGGCAGAAGTTATGAATCGACCGACGTAGAAAGTAAAGACGACGATTTCAAAAAAAGCCGCCGTTTTTACGCAGAAAATAACACGACCAAGTTTTTGTATAAGGCGCCATATAATTACAAATAAATCCACGGCGGTAAAATACAAAATATCGCCGTATTAAATTAATGTACAACGACGGAAAATAAAAATATATTGACGTCTTTCTTGTATAGTTCTA